TGCCCTGGTGCCATCCTGATAGTGACAGTGCCATCCCCGGGGTGACAGTGCCATCCCCGTGCTCTCTGCCTTGGTGCCATCCGGATGGTGACAGTGCCATCCCAGTGCCTTCCCAGTGTTCCCTCCCCAAAGCCATCCCGATGGTGACAGTGCCATCCCCATGGTGACAGTGACATGCTGATGCCAAACCGATGGTCACAGTGCCATCCCGGTGCCATCCCAGTGTCCCCTCCCCGATGCCATCCCGATGGTGACAGTGCCATCCCCGGGGTGACAGTGCCATCCCCGGGGTGACAGTGACATCCATACGACATCCCAATGGTGACAGTGCCACCCTGGTGCCATCCCAGTGTCCCCTGCCCCGGGTCCAGGGTCACCCCAGTGCCATCCCAGTGGTGACAGTGCCACCCTGGTGCCATCCCCGTGTTCCCTGCCCCCAGTCCAGGGCCACCAGAGCAGCCTTTGTCCCCGAGACGGCGCTGTCACCCCGATAAGGGACGCGACAGAGCCACACCCGCCGTGACGTCATCGGGGCGGGGCCGCGCCATTTCCGCCACCGCCGGGTCCCGGTGCCACCCCCGCTGTCCCCGCCGTGTCCCCAGGGGGTCCGAGGCCCCCGGTGCCACCCCCGGGCTGTCCCTGTCGCGTTCCCACGGCCCGGGGTGACCTCGGCCCCGCGCTGGCACCTCTGCCTGGTCATTGTCACTGTCACTGTCACCGGCCCCGGGTGGCCCTGGCACTGTCCCCAGCCCGTCCCCGTCACGCAGCCACACACACGCGGGACAGCGGGTGACACCGAGTGACAGCTTTATTGTCACAGCCCCTGAGGGGCACAGCAGAGACACCCTTGGGGGGACAGGGTGACACAGGGGGGTGGCAGGGGGTGACAATGACATCCCCAGAGAGTCACAGGGGGAGCAGGGGGTGACAGCTGCGTCCTCAGGGTGCCCCCAGTGTCCCCAGGGTGTCCCCAGGGTGACACAGAGGGGATCGGGGGGTGACCACAGAGTGGCATGGGGTGGGGTCAGGGGTGGCCGTGGTGTCCCCACGGTGTCCCCAGGCATCTCAGGGGGTGTCCCCAATGTCCGCAGGGTGTCCCCAGGTTGTCCCCAAGATCCCCAGTGTCTCAGGGGCTGTCTCAGGGGGTGTCCCCACGCTGTCCCCACACTGTCCCCACACTGTCCCCAGGCTGTCACCGCGTGTCCCTGCGGGTCCCCAGCTGTCTCAGGGGGTGTCCCCAGGGTGTCCCCACTGTCCCCTTGCTGTCCCCATCATCCTCCTGGCGTCCCCAGGGTGTCCCCGTGGTGTCACCGGGTGTCCCTGCGGGTTCCTCTCCGGGCGAATTTGAAGCTCTGCAGGGGATTGGCGGAGCCGCGGGGCTGAGGGGGAAAAATGGGGGAAAAATGGGGTGAGATTGGGGGA